CCCAAACCATTCTATGATTCTGTGATTGTACACACTCTGAAAGAACACATTTTTCCAGAGATTAATTTCCTTTAAGAAGCTTAAGGACAGCCGTAACAGCTTAATAACCCAATCTCTATCTATTTACATTCCAACAACTTTGAACTGCCAACACTGCAACCTTTTTGGGTGACCCTGTAATACTAGTTTCTGTGCAGGGGTCATCCACAGTCTTCTACCTCCAATCTTGTTGAGGACGCATTTTTGGTTCATATCATTATCACCAGAAACCTAGTAAAAAGCAAAGTGAGGAAATGAACTGTACTTCTTGTGTGCATTGGAAGATAATAGCAATGTTTTAAGAAATTCTTGTCCAAGTTTTGCTGAGAGCTCTGTAGAGTTGGAATGATCAGAAATGAAATAATACTTAGCAAATCTAAATGCTATTTATGCCATTCTCTACTTTTGTTATAGAACGAGGCACATCGTTAGAGTGAAAATGCCTCGCAGCACAGTTTTGATTATGTATCATCCAGAGCAAAGAGATTTCTGATACAGCAGATCAATAAGAATAAACAGCTGATGTACATTGTCAACATGGAGTATCACTGTCTATCTGCTGAATATTAGGAGAATCAGAGATCTACTTTCTAACACTAGCATATGTGAAAATGGCAATTCTGAGAAGGAGACTATAGAACTTGGCATTTATGGTTTTTTATTCACGTTTTTCTAAAAAACACCGTTACACAGATTGACTTATGTACTGGAAAAGCAGCATGATGCGTAATTTTTAAGAAAAGGTAGATTCTGCTTCATTCTTGTATCCCTTTTTTGTTTTTTTTTTTAAAATACACTTTGAAGCTTTCATTACCTTGTTTGCAGTAGGGGCAATGTAAGAACTTAAGCATTGTCACAGAGCAACTGTGGATGCCATGGGCCTTTTTCCTGCCTTACTTTCAGTTACCTAATTCAGGTCAACCTACGTAGATGGCAACTGGTAATACCATCTCAGTGGCCAGCAAAATAGGGGCTTATCTCTGTGCACTCACACTCTGTAACTTAAAAGGCAAGGAGAAGGTTGATGTGCTACGGTGCATTTTTTCTTAGAGAAAAGTGCTTCCTGGTATGTGTATCTCTAAAGTAATAATGCTAATTTATAACTATGAATCAGTTAGTTTTATCAACATAGTCCTTAAAACAATTTCTGTCTTAATTCTCATATTCTTCTTACACCTAACCTCCCTGGGGATCTTCTCTAAATACACTATTCAAACATTTTCTTTCTGTCTTCCTTTTACATTATGGCACCACATTTTAAACAGAACATTACTTCATGAGAACAAGCCAATTACAGGGAAATTAAAAAAAAAAAATCACAGGCGAAAATAGGACTACAGTAAAGTGCAATGAACAAATTGGTAGCAGATTCAGATGTGTCATTACAGTCTATTCGGGCAGCTGAGAAAGTTGCAGGAAGAAGTCAGTTTTGCTTTCTGCTTTATACAATAAACGCAAAAATAAGTCTTGAAAAGCACCTTTTTCATAAAAAGGCTATGACGGCTCTTTGACTGTTGGAATAAGTCTCTACTACATACACATTACGGTCTTTGTAGTTAGGCAAAAAAAATTAGCTCTGCAGAATACTCAATACTTCATTTCTAACTCTCCTGATTACTAGAGACGACAAGCACGTGAAAGCACAGGAAAGATTTTGCAAAGCATTCTTGCTGTTCAATTATCACGCAAGACAAAAAGGGAGGTGGTGTAAGTTTTAGACCACAGAATGTGTCAAACAACAAAAACTTCGCATTTTCACTTGAAAAATACCAAGCAGTTCGTGTTCATCTGTCCAAACAAAATTATTTCTCCCAATAAAGCAGGTCTGCCGTCCAAATCTGTTTGTAAGTTGTGACAAAGGAGCTTGTTCCATGTTTGCAAAACAGAATGAGACTCTGAATTAACAAAACCCACAGATGGAGCCACACATGGGGTTAGCTATACCATAAACCTGATGATGTGCAGAGGGAGCCTGGATTAGCAAAACATTCTCACAGTCAGCAAACCGCACTGGTATGATTTATTAGCAGCTAAAGCAGCTCTGAGATGGGAGGCAGTATAGTCCAGAGAATAATACCACTGAAAAAATAAAAATGTAAAGAACAGATCTTTAATTTCTGGCTTCAGCACTGACTTACTATCTGACATGCAACTAATCACTTCCCTGCTCTCTACTTCAACTTTCTTAACACTGATCAGAGATTTACTCCAAAAAACACATTAGCACTGACATGTAAAAAATAGCAGGTGACGCAAATCAGAATATCATTATTACAGAGCACATCAGAAAAGCATGTCTTCACATATGATTAGACTTTCCAAAAGCTTTTTTGCCATGTAGAAATGTTGCATGAAATTCAAAAGCTCTCTGGTCAAAGGCACTGCCTGCTAAAGACCCCTCCAGAACACTGCCTCTTGACTGCTCAGCTAACATCTCACTTGCATCAGTTTAGAACCGTTCTGTCTCTTCCCATAAAGGCTGGTTAAGGTGAAGATGAAAAAACGAGAGGAAAGTGATGTTACATGCTGTATTTCATAGTATCTTACTACTTGTGAGATACACCTCACAAGCTAAAGAATGCGGCCTTAGACTCACTCTCCTGGCAGATGCAGGCTTGAAGGGTTCAATGCTCCCCCAAGCTGCTGCTGCTGCTGCAGATACTGCTGCCTCCAGAACCTTAAATAAGACAGCCAGGGGACAGGCGAGAGGTCACTCAACAACACCACCCTTCTAGCAACCATGCAGTATGCAATTGCTTATTCTTGGACAGTCACAAAGTACAACTATATGTAAGAAGGTCTGTTCCCCTTTAGCTATGCTCCTCAACCCAATGCCATGTATGATACTCA